TCGGTCACTATGGTTTATTTTACTCATACACACACACCCACATATGTATATGAATCATACACACAGGCATGGAAGAGGTGATATAGGAAGCAGAGATTTTGGGTAAGACCTAAAGTATGTGGAAAAACTAAAATCTACACCTATTATAGTAGTTAAAGACAACGCTATTTGTTACCTCAGGGTTTTGAGGAGGCGACCAATTCTCTCCGGCGAATGAGGTGGAAGGTTGCGGCTCGTTTGGTGGAGTGCGCAAATCAATACAATCAGGAGATGGGGTGCGAGAGGAGTCATTCTGCAAATCAAATAACATTTCGGCCACTATAGTTTATTTTACTCACACACACACACATATATATGCATCATACACACAGGTATGGAAGAGGTGATATGGGAAGCAGAGATTTTGGGTAAGACCTAAAGTATGTGGAAAAACTAAAATCTACACCTATTATAGTAGTTAAAGACAACGCTATTTGTTACCTCAGGGGTTTGAGGAGGAGGCGACCAATTCGCTGCGGCGAATGAGGTGGAAGGTTGCGGCTCGTTTGGTGGAGTGCGCAAATCAATACAATCAGGAGATGGGGTGCGAGAGAAGTCATTCTGCAAATCAAATAACATTTCGGCCACTATAGTTTATTTTACTCACACACACACACACACACACATATATATATGCATCATACACACAGGCATGGAAGAGGTGATATGGGAAGCAGAGATTTTGAGTAAGACCTAAGGTATGTGGAAAAACTAAAATCTACACCTATTACAGTAGTTAAAGACAACACTATTTGTTACCTCAGGGGTTTGAGGAGGAGGTGACCAATTCTCTGCGGCGAATGAGGTGGAAGGTTGCGGCTCGTTTGTCCAAGGAGGAGGAGGCTGCGCAACAGCTCCAAACACCAGAAATAATAGAGCCACAAGCATCTTGGCAATTCTGTGTGACATAGGAAACAAGAGCTACTTTTATACCATCCTTTTTCCCCACCACTACTTCTGTTTGAGAGACTAGGGTTAAAAATAAAAACAAACAGGAGTTTCATACAAACATTGTGCGTTTATTGATTCTTTCAATGCTTAAATATCTTTACATCTGGTGATTTCCCTGCAGAGCCTGTGCATTGAATGCTATATGCTTTTGTCGAGGTGAACTCCTGCAAATCCCCCGACGTCAAGACGTCCACAAAGCGTGCCGGAAGAAATGTGACCTTCTCTTCCCCCTCTGCTGTTTCGATGTCCAGCAGGATGGTAGGTCTTCCGAACTTTGTGCTTACTTTTCGTGCAGCTAAAATTTTAGCTGGTTTGGTGAGCTCCCTCACCGCAATCTTGGGATTGTCGGCCTGACGCTCGCAAGCAGCCATACGTGATAAGAGATCCATCTGAAATCAAATTACATTATTAAATATGCAGCGTGTTGTGTATATCTTCTTTTCAGACACCTCGGCAATTGCAAAAGATGGAGCTCCACAGCCCATCTCTACTTACGTTAGCAGCGATGTGGTCTGAATGAAAGACTGGAGACGATTGTGAGCTCCCCTCAGGTGAGCTCTGGTTTTATACCTGGTCACTGTGTAAGGTGATACTGGCGCATATCCAAAAGCGGGTGATGACGCAATCTGATGCGGTGACTCATCAGATTGTGCAATCATAGCATAGTGGATCTAGGTTGTTTATGTGTGTGTGTGTGTGTGTAAGCTTTATTCGGTTCCCATCCACCTACGACAAAGGACTATTCCTGTTGTTACCTGTTCCACACTTTAGGTATGCAAACTGTGTGACAAAAGCGTGACGCCAAAGGTTAACACACGGCACGTTTTGCGGAGGTTGTTGACCTGCTCGATGTTGAAAGCAGCTTGTAGCTGTTTGACTCCGTTTCCACACCACGATAGGTTATTCAACCATGTCGTAGGAGCCTCGGCGCGTTTTTTATTTAAGTGAGTTTCCCCAGTAGGCCTAATCTCACTATAGGCTGTTTGTAGCTAACAGCGGACCCACATTTCCACACCACGATAGGTTATTTTAACCATATCGTAGGGGTCTTGGCGCGTTTTTTATTAAAGTGAGTTTCCCATTAGGCCTAATCTCACTATGCACTGCTTGTATCTAGCAGCAGACCCACATTTCCACACCACGATAGGTTATTTAACCATGTCGTAGGGGTCTTGGCGCGTTTTTTATTAAAGTGAGTTTCCCCAGTAGGCCTAATCTCACTATTGAAACGAGCCCCAACCATCGCTCATCTGCAGTGACGACCACTCCATAACAAAAATGTCGCCTCCTGTCTGGTACAATATTGCGGTACCGCAAAAACACTAAACTACTTTTTTTTTTTGGTCCTTTGACAAATATAAATGTGGTTATTTACTTGGTGAAGCCTTTCAATTAACCCAACACACATATTTGACAAAGGATATATTTTACTCTTTTATATGTTTTTTTTTTTACTTCTCGTCAACCTGTTCATTGTGAATACGATATCAGGCTATTTACTAGGCGTACCGTTCATTTTAGCCTCAGTTTCACCTTTCCAGGTTGAACGGAGAAGTGGACTTTGTTTTTTCTGTTTCATTCTACTTTCTACACTTGCAATGCTATTAAATATAACAAGGTACTCAAATATACACAATCATACACTGTGTGGGCCGAAGGAAACGCAATGTTCTACGAGTTTTACCTCAACCCTCTCATCTACCCAAGGACTTACCAGGGCTTAGCCCCAGCCTAAAGGGTAGGTGGCACCTACACAGCTAGGAAACGTCTTAGCTCTATTTTAGTGTGGGTCGAAGGAAACGCAATGTTCTACGAGTTTTACCTCAACCCTCTCGTCTACCCAAGGACTTACCAGGGTTTAGCCCAGCCTAATGGATAGGTGACTCCTACACGTATATAGAGACAATCAGCTTCCCAACACACACACACACACACACACACACACGTACACATGTTATATATAATAATATTGACTTTCTGGAATCTCATCAAAACTGTGACTCTGTTCATAGAGAAATTTACAACTCACATCTTGGTACAGCGCAATATTATCCCAGTCAACTTTGGTGGCGAATTCTCGAATGAAAGACTCGGTCAGCTTCTGATAGCGACTCAATATGCTCCAAGCACCTTCACTGAAATTACCCGCCATTTCTCTGAGGAATGCCTCGGAAAATTTGATACGCGTTAAAAGTTTTTCCCAGTTAACTCGGTGAAAATAACGTCTCAACATATCAGTTGAAAAATTATAATGTGTGGAGAGCAAATCCCAATTCATGTACCGATCAAATTTCATAATAAAACCATCTGTCATCACCCCTTCGGGTTCTTTAGGCTCCTGAGAGAGAATTTCCCACACCTGTTCAGCCATGATCCGCACAGCACAAAGTCAAACTACAGACTGACACTAGAGAAAATATTTGATTCTTTTTTGTGCCGTGTGCAGAGCACACTTTGAAAACCCCCCACTGTGTTGTGGTAACAAACAATTTATATGGTTATCTTCTCCCTCCACCCCCTCTTTACCCTCATCTGATGTTATTTCCAGAACATTTGGATGAAAGCGCTTTAGGAATGTAACCTTTTCCAATCCTTTAGTGTAGATGACACTAAAAGAAGCACATAAATTACGTATTAACCCCTCATCGTATGGAATTGTTCCATCGTCCCAACGAATACAATGGTAATGACGTGTTAGCCATCTATTTGAACGCCTAGTTTTTTCGTCAAGATTGCGCAACACATATGGAGGACGAAATATAATCTGACAGCAGAGTGATTCTGCAACTATTGCAAACTCTTTTACAATAAACGTGTTATTGTTGTCTTTGAAAGCGTGAAATTCAACAACTGCTACTGGTAAACGGCCAGCGCTTGAACAACAACAACTCATTGTAAAGTGATGTTGAAAAATTAGGCAGAGATGGGGGATTTTCCGACCCCTCTTTGTTGTTCAGCACCTCTGTTATGAATTCTCTAATATCGGCCTCGCGAGAAAACAGCTCCGTGAGGTGAATGTGCACGAGCGGAAGGCTATTAATAAACTGGACCCATTCTGCGTTGTTTAGTGCCAAAGTGTGTTCCCCGCCGTGAATGAATACGTGTTGTTTGCCAAATACCGAAATAACCTTCACACTCTCACCGGTGACGAGTGAAGTGTGGAATTTTTGGCCGAGCTCCATCGCTGCTGTGACAGCGTTGAAAGCTGTCACACCGAATTGATTGAATACATCCTGTGACCAATACACACTTCCTTTCTTTGATTTAAACAAAACGCCAATCTGGTTGTCTCTATTTTTGAATACCCCCGTAATTACGCACTTTGTCACATCGTGGTCCAGAAAGAAGACTTTTTTCAAAAAAATACCGGTCAGCAGGTTTATTCCCTCTGTAGGTTTAGGCACGGTTTCTATACTCACCTGGTCAGCAACAGCTGTGGCAGTGGCCACGTCCTCACTCGACGGCTCCATCATTGAAACTGAGAGATTTCGTAACGTTCACAGGTATCGTACCCCTCAATGGGGTTATTCTCTAGGGGGTCTGAAAGCGCGGGCTTTGTCACTTCCGGTACCCGTGTGTCCAGTAGTGACCTTCCTAGAATAATTCGGACATTATAGGTGTCGGGGGCGACATTGACATCGATACATCTTTCATTTAAACTAAAAACACCCAATTGTATGGTGAAATCGTATTTCAACTGATAAACGCTGACAATGTCAAATTGGCTGTAGAAACTGACACGCTTGAGAACATTTTCAACGCTACACGCTTTCCTTAAGAGATACGATCCGGGGAACGTTTCAATCCTTATACGGTCAAAGCAGGAATAGTCTGCGACGTGATAGTTTAGCATGCCCCCGTCACGGTCAAACGATCTGCCGTCACTGATATTCTGGCCGTTTTTATAAAGCGATACTAACACCTTCGCGAGTCTATTCGTCACATAGTCTTTACAAACTTCAAAGCTGGCTTGAATCACCTGTACATCGTCCACTACCTGTGAGGCCATCTTAACGACTGAGACCCTCATCTGCCTCCGCCTCCGCCTCCGCCTCCGCCTCCGCCTCCGCCTCCGTCTCCACCTCCGCCTCCGCCTCCGCCTCAGCCTCCGCCTCCGCCTCCGCCTCTTCCTCCGAATCCTCCTGGTAAAACGAAACGTACTTTTTTCGATCTCTCAACTTAATCCGCACACATTGAACATTGGCAACTTCAAGATCAGGTAGACTGATATAGTGACGGGGTATGTCGTCGTCGTCGTCGTCGTCGTCGTCGTCGGTGTCATTCTCTTCATCGTCATTATTTAGCATACTGTTTAAGTCAAAAGATTCTCTATGATAATCATCTTTATCGCCATAGACATGTACATCCAGCGTGTCATACTTATGGAAATCAATTAATAAATTAATCAAATCCACCGCCGCACGAGACATAGCAAATTCTCTTATAACTTCAAATTCGATTCGATCAAACACTCCGACTGTGGCGAAATCCAAACTCAACAGCCTGCCGTTCCAATCTATTTTACGTTTTAACCTACCCTTTTCAAAGAGGTTAACATAAATCCACGCAATGTTCTGCCACTTTTTTTCTTCCATGTTTATCAGACAGAGACCAGCTGTAGACTAAAAACTATACAGTCACCTTACTTACAGAACCGGTGAGTAACTTATAGGTCATGTGACTATCGTGTATTAAGAGACAGTATGCTGTAGTGCTGGCGGGAACCGCGTTCTTTGTTTCAAAATCCACTCTCACGTCTACAGGTCCCGACTTGATTGCATCATTTTGTTTGGAGCAATCGACTACGTATAGCGGGACATTGGCGTTGAACTTTTCCATTGTGACAGCGGTTTGACCGGTAGACTGTCTACCATAATATGATTCTAGAAATCGACAAAACATTTCGTAAAATAGTGTTTTATCTCCGTTAATGTTGTCGTAGGGGAAATATTGAGAATTCAAATACACCTTGATGTTTGTCAAGTCGCAGTGGTCAAACGAGGACATGTCTTTAGCGTATTGATTTTTCCTATCCTCCTGAAATGCCAAAATGACATATCGAGGTTTCTCCAATTGTGCTGATGTTTTAACCGTCCACGAGTGTATATTAGTTTGTGGCAGTGACGGGTATTCGTGAAGCTCCCAAGACCTAAAAGGTATATGGACCGTGGTGTCCTTTTCGATCATGCGCAACATAGTAAGTCGGTAGGAGTCGGAAACGTTCACATGAGGAACACGCCAGTACACCCCTGTAATTGTTATAGAAACATCACTCGCGTCATTACTGATTACAGCATTTTTATCTGAAGCGGAGCGCAGAAGCACCAACTCCTGTTTGTTATTTACAATTACACGTCTGTAGTCCTCAGCAAAACCGAGTAAAAGACGTAGTGGAACGGAAAATGAAAACTCTTTGGACTGTAATTTCTCGCCAGGGCCTAACCAGCAGGCATTCTTCAACATATTCACCTCATGGGGTCTGATCGAAAGAACATTTTTCATAGTTGTTGTAATACCGACATTCTTTGTCCTATCCACTTCAATACCCGCAATCTCATAGCGTATTTCATCAAAGAAAAACGCCACCGCGTTATTCACGAAATGCCACGGCGCCTCTGTTCTATCAGTTTTTGTACTTTTAACCGTACCCTTAACGAGCAATGTACTCTCAAACGGTGCTGTAATAATATCCTGTTGACTGATCGGTATTCGGATCTCATCGTTATTTTTAAACGTGGACGACGCGTATGGCTTGTGAGTGTGAAACTCCATGCCGGTGATGGCATCACTGTACTCTGCCTTTGTGTTTATATCCAACATTTTCAACCTTAAATCCAAGAGACCGCAAAAACTTAACACTCGACGATGTTAACCGTACAACGTCTTTTGGCCTACTGATGTTTGGAACAGGTAATATGTCCCTAAATACCAGTCCCATTGTTCTTTTTTCTAACGTGTAACCTAACAGACAATCTTTCGTTTCTGAGATTAATCAAGTTGCCGTCTTGATCGCGCAGAGATATCGACACGTTGTTGACACTTGAAACGTTCACTGGTAAGTAAATTATTGTGTTAGGTATCTCGACTATTTTATACCCTGGACCTACATTTGGGTAAAATTCGTGCACCGTATGACTTTCTCTACCGTTATCAAACGATCCACGAACAATATTACACTCGACACGAATAACATCAACTTTCATTATGTTGACTGTAGTATCGGATACATGTGTTTTCCCAGCTTCAAGGACTCTATTGGAGAAGCCTAGCAAGGATCCGATTGAATCGCCTTTAGTAAAATCAACACTCTGTGAGCAAAAAATTTCCGAACGTAAGGTGCTGTTGTTAGCTGTGAGCTTAAATTCCACATCCTTTCCCAGTTTCGCCTTTAAAGTAGACTCTATATTTTCCACTTCATATGCCCCTTCATCAATACTGACAACTCCCGCTTTACCATAGTAAAACTTGTTATTTATTCCAGATTCAATGTTGGGGATTGAATGAAAAGTCATTAAATCCACAAGTCCAATCTCCCACTCACCATCGCTCATGTCAACAGGTGGAAAGTATTCATTTGTAATATACGATCCACGACCGCTTAAGCTAAACATTTTTGCAGAGAAACTCTAGACACAAATGCCCGCAAACAACTGAATCAAATGATTGCACTCTACGATAATTATAGAAGACTTCACAGTTGGCAAAGTACTGCAACAGTTCTAGCGGAGGTTTTAAGTTGCCAAAACTATCAAAATAATGCACCCGACTACCCTCTTTTCTATAGCACACCCAATGTGTGCCTTCACCCACTGCCGAATCTAAGTTTACAATAGCAGTCTCATTTAAGTTAGGTCGAACAGGTAGAGTGTCTCTCATATACACTCCGCGAAAATGAGGGATTTTCAGTAATTTCGCGTAGTATTTCAAGTCGTAATTTGTCAACGGTCTTAGCGGGATCCACGTTTTTTTTTCCTCGTATTCCGCTTTTTACGTTTAACTCCACCCCCTCTAGGGTAGGGACGTAGATACAATCCTCTACCTCCAGGTGTCTTTTTCTTAACTCTACGAGTCGATTGCTTCTTCTTCCTCTTTCCACCACCAAACTTTGCCTTTGTCTTCATCGCTGTAGTTACTGCCCAGGCCGCCGCCTTTTCTCCTACAGACGCGTCTGATGATTTAAATCTACGCCAAGCGCGTTCTGCTAGCTCCTTATCTGCCTGTTGTCTGTGCGCGTTATCTTTGTACCTCGAATATGCGATATCGTGCACCTTACACGCTTCGTCTAAACCGTTAATACCTCTATCACCTCTGGCTAGTCTCTTTTTTAACCTTGTTCCAGGTCCACAATAATTATAACCCGGCAGGTGAGCTTCAAAAGGTAAAAGGTCCACGGCTTTGTTAACAATAGAAGATATAAGACCTTCTCCGACGACGGCTCTTTTGCGTCTGACCGATGTTATCCTCTTCCCAACCATTTTAATACTGATTGGAATGAGATATTTTAACTTGTCTTAAAAAGGTCGTCCCAGGTTGCTGTCTCGTGAACAACCTGCCCCCTCCATTCGTCATATGAGGTTAGACTCACGCGTTTCGTCTGATTCATCTGTTTATACAGTGAATAGGCTAATTCCGCGATAATTTCTTTGACGTACTGCTTGTTTACAGCATCGCTCAATGCTTGTGGTTTACTAACATTCGCTATTCGCCTACCCTTAACATCCCAGGATTTATCATTATTAGGTAAAATTGAATTACGTTGAAGATATTGTAGGGTAATCGCATCATGAGCACTTGATGGATCAGCGACATGACCTAAACGTTTATCCTTAAAGTTCCATGCTAATGAGCCTTGTAAAGGTACACGGTTGTCCATGTACAATTTATTTACAGCATCTCCCGCTCTACTAGGAGGTGCCAAGTTTTGGATAACCGTATTTTTTACATCAAAAGCCCCATCTTTATTTTTAACTAAGGCTGTGCTGTTTAGACACTGAAGATTTACCGCATCCGCGTCTTTTACCGGCAGTGCTACGTTCCGAATAACTGCATTTTTTGCATCAAACTCTCTCTGTACACTTTCTCGTGTTATAGCGTTTTCTTTAAGAAACAATAGATTAACTCCGTCTCTATCAGCTTTCGGCTCTGCAACGTCTTGCAACCGGTAATGGTGTATTGAGTATGCTTTTGCATCAGTCAATTTAAGCGGCGTATGAAAATCCATATACTGCTTAGACACAGCATCATTAATACTAACAGGGTCAGCTATATTACACACACGGGTGTTTTGAGCATCAAAATGACCACTTTGCCTTGTCATACAGTTTAAAAGTGATTCCGCGTGGGTTCTAAAATTAATCACATCAAAATTGTCCTTTGGATTTTCGACATTACACAAACGTTTACCCTGCATATCATAGTTACCATCTTGAGTCAGTGCAAAGCCCTCGCCCTTTGGCCCGACAAGAGACTTTTCTTTTTTCTCGTAACGTCCGAACTTGTCTACACCCATTGTAAAAGTGATTTGTATCTACTATTGCCCGCCCCTTTTATGAACCCAGCTTCACGTAGCTCCTCCACAATATTAAGGATTTCATTACTATGAGACGTGTTTCCAGACTCAGTTGACGCGGTTAGTAGTTTCATTCTGCTTACAAGTTCATTAGGGTCGTCCCAGTGAACAATATCCCGAGATGTAGCAGTCTTCCAAGTCATGCCCCGGCCCTGTTTAGCGGGAAATAATTTTCTAATGACGTGTTTGTATTTCAAACTATTATCCCTTCTTATTTGCTTGTAAAAGCTGTATTGTTTTTTGTGCGCGTTTGTTGCTACTAATATATTCTTGTATGTCTGTAGATCTTCACTATTGTATAGATCCTCATCGGGTAGTCGTTTGAACAACAATTCGTATAAGCCGACTGTAGGTTGATATTTTGTATTATTTATAACCAATGACCCGTCGCTGTCAAATTCTAATTCTTTATCACCAATCATTAACTTATTGCCGTCACTATTGTAACGGGGACCATAATCATGATCAATTATTCGAGACTTTCCGCCGGCATCTGCCATGAGTAGTTTCATATATTTCCGCGTCAACGGGTTTTCAAAATGTTCGTCGACATATCGAGAAGCCGTTTCCAAGCCTACAGGTGAAGACACAACATCATGCAACCGGTTCGGTGTCGAAACGCCAGTAGGTTTAAACGATTGGTTAAAGTAATTATCATCATCGTCCCCACTGACATAATCCATTGCTTCTTCTCCTTCTTCTTCTTCTTCTTCCCCTTTGACAGCAGACATTTGTTCAGCTTTTATTTGAGGCTCAGTTTTTTTCAATTCTCTGATAATCGGTCTATACTGCTGCTCTAGTAATCTTTCATTTTCAACATTACCATCTTTAAATCGTCGAAACTTACGTCTTACCGCCTCTTCTAGTTCGGCAATTTTCGACACAAGGTCTTTATTCTTCCGACTCATCTTTGCTACTGAACTATCAACTAACAACAACAACACATTTATGGCAGCTCAACCTGCCTGAAAAACATTGCGCGTCTCTTGTGTTTACGCAAATAACGCACCACGTCCTTTAACGAGATACCAGATGCTATATTGATACCTCTGTAGTACCTCTTAGTGTGTGCATCAAATAGTGGTATATTGTATCGTGTTGACCAACTTCGAAAAACAAAAGTCCTTTTCCACCCTCCTCTCCATTGTGGTATTTCAGCCACAGTGTATCTATCATCACTGTTATCCATATATTTTTGTAAAAGACTCATTGGCCGTTGAGCCTGATTGTGGTGTAATAGAAATGAATTTACGAGCCAAAACTCGCTAGGATTTGCGCCTGTAAATTCTCGCCACTGATCAAATAGTGCTCTATTAGTTATTGTATAAACACCGTCACTACTAAGACTTATACCGAAATGGTCGCAATAGAGTGGTAAAGTTGGCAATGCCGCTTTCAAAAAATCTGTAGTAAAAAGTCCTTGGCACAGGTTGTTTGCTGCTGCATAGCGCTTACCTCGAACCCCAGGAGGTAATCCTGGAGGCACTGGACCGTATGCTACATTATAACTAATGTCAATATGACATTTAGAAGCTAATGCCGTCTTATATATTGTTACGGGGGACCTTATTGGTAGTGTACGCTCAGTTAATACTATGCAACGAGCGGCGTAAGGGATTTTACACCCATATTCAAGCATTCTCAGATAAATCTGTGTAAAGTTTATGCCGCCATGCCGGTCTCGTAGAGGTAGGACCTTTCCAAAAATATCTGGAAACGGTCTGAATCGCGATAACATATTATGAGATTCGCGTACAGTACAGTTTGTCATATCTTCGTGGTAGATAACAAGCTCTAGTGGTACCTTTTTTTCTTCGCATTTTGCTAAAAACTTAATCCACAGTTCACGGTTGTAGGTGCGTTCACTAGCAGATATCATAAGTAAAATTACAGGAGGCAGTGTGGCGCTTTGTTTTGCAGCTTTATGTCGCCAGCACCGCCGGTTATAAGGATGACCATGACGCCCCTTTCTGCTGCAATAATTACCGCAAAACTTTCTCCTATCTGAATAGTAAAAAGTGCAGAGATTTGATTTAACATTATGAAGTTTTGTGTCGTAACCTCTAAGATCGTTGTACGTATAGATGTTTACCATTGTAGTTCAACTATAAAACTAATGTGTACTGTACAAAGCATAGCACTTTTACATAACACATACCCCCCACCGCTATCACAAATCCTCTACAAAAAAGTCAAATTTCAATCTGTACCTCCCTTTGTTAATATCACGAGTCTTATCTATTACCAAAAA